TTCCCCAATAAAAGCCCACTCTCTGGCGTGCTTCTTCCTCTCTTTCCTGCTGGTCTCTTGTGTAAACCTCGATACCGCCAGGTGGATCTAGGCAGGAGCCAGGAAGGGCCGTCTCTGAGCTGGGCAAGAAAAAGGTAAATTGAGTTTATGTGTCTTTATTTTGATCTCACTAGTTAACTTCTATGTTTGGAACCTCTAGTATGAGGTTCTTAGCAACTCAGTGAGACCCTGTTTCTAAATAAAATACAAAATGGGGCTGGGTATGTGGCTCAGTGGTTGCATTCCCCCGAGTTCAATCCCTAGTACCCACTTCCAAAAAAGAACAAGCTAGCAATAACCACCCAAATTTTTAAATATGAATGTACAACAATTTACTGATATGATAAAAAATATATTTTTATTCAACATTCCATAAAATTCTGTTATATAGCCAGGTGCAGTGGCACACACCTATAATACCAGCAGCTTGGGAGGGTGAGGCAGGAGGATCAATAGTTCAAAGCCAGCCTCAGAAATAGCAAGGCACTAAGCAACTCAGTGAGACCCTGACTCTAAATAAAGTACAAAATAGGGCTGGGGATGTGGCTCAATGTTCAATGGCCCCAAGTTCAGTCCCTGGTACCAAAATAAAAAATTCTGTAATATACAAAAAATGTACATCAGTGTTTTTTAAATAATAGAAAAACAGAAATGACAGAAAGACCCACTTATAAGTAATAAATTAAGCAGATAATTATATTCATCCCAAGAGAAGTTCACAAAATACCCAAATGTTAAAACCAAACAAACCCACAGTTAAGTAGCATATTCTATGATCACATTTATGTGGAAAAATGTACATTTAATATTGATATTTAGGAAAAAATGGAAAGGTAATTCAGCCAGCTAAGGACAGTTATTCCCCAAAGGTATATGAACATATAATTCACAGAAGAAACAGTGATTATGCATATCAAGAGTTATTAATCTTCACTAAAAGCAATGAGAAGAGTGGCTTCTGAACTTTGTCAACAGTTTGAATTAAAAACACAATTATGTATCATCAAAAAAGAATATATGTTTGCTTTTGTCTTTATCAAGAAAACTTTTAAAAGGTAAAATTAAAGTTTCACATTTTACTAAGGACAAACATCATAAATCATTTATATAAAGAACTCCTTCTAAACTCATTCAGGGATTTTTAAAAACTCCTATGGGTATGAGCACGTGTATGTGTTTCTGTCTGTGTCTATCTGTCTCTATTCTTGTGAACACTTCTCTATCCCATGATCAAATAATCTTTTGTTGTTGTTGTTGTTGTTTTGTTGCAAATTTCTTCTTTTTGCAGTACTGGGGATCAAACCTAGGGTATCACACATACTGGGCAAGAGCTCTACCACTGAGCTAATATCTCATGGTCCAGTTTTTTTTTTGGCCAGGGGTGGGAGGGGGTGCTGGGATTAAACTCAGGGGCACTCAACTATTGAGCCATATCCCCAGTCCTATTTTGTATTTTATTTAGAGACAGGGTCTCATTGAGTTGCTTAGTGCCTCACCGTTGCTGAGGCTGGCTTTGAACCCTGATCCTGCTGTTTCAACATCCCAAGCCACTGGGATTACAGGCATGTGCCACCATGCCCAGCACATGGTCCAATTTTTTTTATACTTCAGGCTTTATCCTATTTGGAATCCATTCTAGTGGGGATTTTTCTTTTCTATTTCCTCCCCCAAATATCATGTACTAAAGTTATCCCTCAAAATGACCTGTCCCCCATTTCCTTCATCAGGGCCACAATCATATTCCTTTTCCATTATTTCCACAGACTCCCAACTGACCTTCCTTGATTGCAGTATTTCATTCCACCCACCCTTCATCCCTCAAAACTGTTCCATATTCTACATATGGAGTGACTCTGTCACTGCCTATGTAAGTCCTTTCAATGACTCTTCACTACACTTCGGATGAAATCCAAACTTATCATGTTCAAAATTAGTGTGGTCATATAATAAAACATATAAATAAGGAAGCAACTGAAAGTAAAAGAAGGGCTATTAATAATAATCCTTAACTACAAGCATAAGCCAGATTCTGTGGGACAAGCCCAACTCAAAAGGCTTGACTTCCTGCTCCAAACTCTTGCCCTGTCCTCTCTCACAGGCTACTGTCCAGTCATGCTGAACTTTAAGAGACTTCACATACTATGCATTTGCCCTAAAACCTTTATTCTTCACACTCTGCTGATGACCCATTCCACATGCCCCTGTTCTGTTCTGGTTACCCGGCATTCAACCTTCAGGCCTTCCTCTATAGTTTTCTTCAACCAAAGTTTGGATTTAGCATCATTCCTATATGTTTCACATCATTTCCATTTGTTCTCCCTTTTTTTAAACCCAATATTTCTTCTTGCCTTCATTAATCTATTTACTACAAGTCGTATCTCCAGAGGGCCTGGCACACAGTAGGCACTGAATAAATATCTGAAAAAATATATTTCTAGCAACATTTACAAATCACCAAAGAAAAGTTCTAAAGCTTTTTGAAAAGAGTTATTAGCAAATCTGAGGAATACACATATTATTTTTCTGTAGTGGCTGCATATTTGGTTGTTTGTACCTGAGTGTTTTTTAAAAAGTCATATTAGGGCTGGGGCTAGGGGCTCGGTGGTGGAGTGCTTGCCTCGAACGTGTGAGGGACTGGGTTCGATCCTCAGTACCACATAAAAATAAATAAATAAAATAAAGGTATTGTGTCCATCTACAAATAAGAATATTTTTAAAAAGGTCACATTACTTGGTAAGCATATGTCAGGTTTTCTTTCAGTTACTATGAATAAAATATTTAAAATAGAATAACCATCTAAACAGTAAATAATTTTGTATCTGCTAAAAATGACAGACAACCCTCAAATTAACACACCAGAATTACATATTTCATATTTCAACTGTCAGTTCAACTAATAGCCCATGAATAGATAACATATTCTACCGTACCTTCCTGTTGTTTTAAAAGAGGAAAATAAAGCAAATATTTTAATTTAATTCCTAGGACCAAAAGAATTGACTGATTTTATTCTGAAAATGTCCAACATGTATTTTAGGGCTGAGCTTTTTAAAGAATTACTTATAGGTGACATTCAAAATGATGGCAGTTAATACAAATGACTTCAAGGAAAGCTGTATTATATGTTAGGTGAAAAATGGAAGAAAGATATGTACTTCCCAAGACTGGCTAACCACGGATTGTCATTGCCAACTGAAACATCATGTGTCTGAAATATCATCTGCTTTTTACTCATATTTAATATACATCTTTTACGCTGACCTCTCATCCATTCTATTGTCTCACTGTTAAATATGAAAAAATAAACAACATAATCCATATAAAATACATTCCATACAATGAAATTTAACCAATTATTAAATTTTATCAAATGGGATCTTCATAATACCATCTAAGTTATATCTCCTTTTTAAACCAAATGCCAGTCTACCTCTTGTATAATCTATTTTTAGCCATTCCATTTCAAACACTGTTGAGTAGAATACCAAAGTCACTTTTTAAAAAATCTGAAACATTCCTCTTTAGTTTCTAATGTCGTTGAACCAAGTTAATAATCTCAGAAAGGGATCTGACAAGCTTCTTATAGCTCACCTCACCCTGCTCTGGTGATACTAACTTTTTACATACGGTTGATACTAAACAGAGCTTTAAATCTCAAGATTTAAAGAAATCTTGACAATGGTCTCCACAAATCTCCTTCTTGGAGTGCTTAACCATGTGGCACCCTTTCTTTTTAATACTAAGCAACTTTTCTGTTCTAATTTGATCTTTGTTCTTTTAGAAATAAAATTTAATTAGACTCCTAAACCATTAGAAATTAATTACCCTGACATTATTATTCATAGTCCATTTACTTCTGACTTCAATACATTCATGTACTTATAAGGGTTAGACACTATGGCCCATTTTATACTTCATTTCAATAACTTCAAAAAAATTTTTTTTAGTCGTTGATGGACCTTTACTTATTAATTTATATGTGGTGCTGAGAATACAACCCAGTGCCTTACACATGCTAGGCAAGCACTCTACCACTGAGCTACAAACTCAGCCCTAATTTCAAAAACTTTTTAAAAATATAAATTTTAAAACCAAATACAGCACAATTTCAAAGGGATATTTCTCCAAGAAGGCAAAAATCAGCTTTTATACCTGAACGTAAGTTTTTTCATTCAACACTCTATCCTTACCAGTATTCATAAGACAACTGATCATTTTAATTATGCAATTATAAAATTCATATGTAATTGTGACTCATGGAAACCATTTTACACACAGTTGCAGTAGTTTCAAATTCTCAATGTATGCATTATAGAATTTTATGTACTGATAACCTTAGAATAAGAGCAAGACAATTGTGAAATGCCTTCTCCAAACCAATCACATTCAGAAAATAAATAAATAAATAAGTGAATAAATAATAAACTCTGAGGAAGCAGGCAAGACAGAATTGATGTCTATCAATATTTTAAGAGATATTTGACACTGGACAACTGCTCTATTCTATAAAATGGTATGATATTTTGAAACATGAATTAGTATAAGGATAGAAAATGGGGCAGTGGAAGGGGGAGAGAAGAGTGCCAAAATAATCCTACAGAAAAATAGAGATATTTGTCAAATATATTAAAATAATCATTAACTGGCCAAGTTAAATGAACCTAAACAAAATCATTGTGGTTCTGTATTTTGTATTCTTAATTTCATTGTAAAGGAAAACGACCTTGAAGCTGCACTATATTAAGCCAACTTAAATACTGAGTTTCCCAGTTAAAGTACTGGGTACTACTTGTCACAACATTATAATTCTTTTACCTTACTAGGATTCGGGCTAATAAAATACTGTGTACTATTTGAAAATACATTCAGTTGAAAATTGATGCCTGAAACACAATTCATCTGAAGACTCAGAAAGTGGCCCTTTCAGAAGGTATTTATTTCAGGAGTAATATGTCCTCACCTTAACATTGGGTTTTGACAGTAGTTTCAACAGCTCTCTGATCTCACTGTTTAATGGCTTGTTCTGAAGCTCTTCAGCCAGCTGCAAGGAAGATTACATTGACATAAGTAACGTTTAGCAAGAGCATTGTGAGGTTCTGTGCAGAACTGAGAATCTATTTTGCTCAAGGTTATTACTTTCCAGTGTTTAAGTCAGCATGAAAGAAATCAATCAGTGCTCTTCTTTTCTGGTCCTTAGAAGAGCAGATTCAAGCCCAGGCTCTGGGCTGAGTACAACCTGCGTGATCATATCAGCTACATCACTTCTGATTTATTGCAATGAGGGCAAATCCCAGCACTTCATCTGTGCGAATGGTCTTTTGCACGTAGACAAAGGACCATTTGTAAAAAGGACTGGATCAAGTTTTGACACTGTGAAAAAAAAAAAAAAAAAAAGATGGAGAGTTTTTGAATGAGGTGGTGAAATCCACAGGGTTTCCAAAAATCCACAGTAGCTGTGCTGTTTATAACCGGGGTAAAACGAACTAAAATGATCCTAATAGAGTAAATGACCTGAAACTTTTATTATGTTTATCTACACAGACTAAGAAGTCTATTAAATAAAAACCAAGTTAATCATAAATCCATAATAGATGGAGAATTACTCTGGCACCAAAAATGCTGACTGTACTTTATTGTAATGATTAAGAATTCCCATTTGTCAATTTGATGTGAAGAAAGAACTGGAACTTTGAATCTGCCTCACATTCTTCAATAAGAATGTTTTGAATGTTCTTACCACAAAGTAATGGTATATGTTTGAGCTGTTGGGTAAGCTAATTAATCATATGTGTGTGTGTATGTGTCTCAAAATATCACACTATGTACCATAAATACCTACAATTATCTTTTGCCAGTTATAAATAAAAACTTGAGACTTTCCTATAAAAATTTCTCAGTAAGGATCATATAATTCTATAAGAAAATCAAGACACAAATATAAAAAGATAAAGTTTATGCAACATATATGGTTTATAATTCAAAGTATATAAAAGCATTTTATCTTAAAATACTGCATGAATTTTCCATTTGCCCCTACTGTTTCTTTTATGCTAAAAACAATGGTTCTTATCTTTGGAAATGGACTTTTCATACAGAAAATAAAATCAGAGAAAGTTGACAAATAACATTACAAAAATTGCTTTTACTTTTTCAGGGTAACATTTTTATAGAATTCTTAACTTACAAAAAGATACAAAAGGCTCTTCATATTCTTTACTCACTTAATACATAATAATAAATGTTTAACATTTAAGTATACTGTTATAGTGAATTAAAAATACTGTGTTGATCATATTTAATAGTAAGGTTTACTATTTTATTTTATTTTACTTTTTTCTGCAGTGCTAGGAATCAACTCTAGGGCCTCCCGTATGTTAGGCAAGTGCTCTACCCCTGAGTTCTATTCTCAATCTCATATTCTGATTTAAAAAAAAAAAAAATTTACTATGTACTATGCTTGGGGGTAAATTATATAGGTCTCTACACAATTTTTTCCTAAAACCCTCAGCAGTAGTTGTTTGAAAACTGGTTTTAAAGCCTTTTTCAAATGTTAGCTGAAGCTTAATTATGTAACTATATATACACTTTTATTCATCTTTGTTTCAAAAGTTTTAGTTTTACAATGCAGAAGTAAGCTTCCTCATTAAACACATGTATTGAAACATATGTCTGGAGATAAAAATATAGAATGGAAAATATTTGAGGACTAAACCAACACACATAACTGGATTATTATTACATATGTTTTAATTTCTAAATTAGGATACAAAATATCAAAGAAAATCAATTTCTGAAGATGGTCAATTCTTTTTTTCTTACTATATTATGGTCCTGGCATTTTACTAAACTGAATTACAGTTTGCCTTATGGTGATACAGGAAAAAATTTAAGAGCAACAAATAAGTTACAGGATATCACTACCACACACTAAACACATTTCTCGACTAGCTGAGTGTCCTTTATAGTTTATCCAGGTGTGCTCTCAATTCATCCGAATCCGAAAGTTAACAGTAGGAATCAGCAAGTTTGTTTCCCCTCCCCCAGACTTAAAATAAAATTATAGCTACAGGAAATTAACTACTCCATCAATGCCAACTGCCTCTAAAATTTACTTTTTGGTTATGAAGGTAATTTGGAAAGGTCTAATATCCATAAATCATAACTGTGCTTTATAATCCATTTTAAAAACAATTCTGTCTTTTTATGTATTTCATATATGCCTCACTCCTATCCTAGTACCTGTCATTTTTTAGTACTGTCAGCAATATAACTATCTCATTTGTCTTTATTTCTCTAAAGCTTTCCCCTTGTCTGTGACTTTCTCAGAACACCAATGCCTGACAGTTTCTTTCTCTCCATAGAGTTTGAAGCCTAAAATTTCTATTACGTCGTTATTAAGGCAGAACACAGGGGTAGCTGCATGCACAATTTTTAGAACAGGAAAGTGAATGAAAATCAACATAATATCAGCATAAGCTCAGTGATGACAGGGCTTTGGGAAACATTTGCAACTTCTTCTGGTTTTCACTCGTAGGATCACACACATCTGTCTGCACTAGGATGAGTTCCACCTCTGCCAGGCCTGCGGCAGACACGTCCCGTGAGCTCAGAAAGACACACTTACGTCATTGGCCAAGGCCGCCGCACCATGGAGAATGGGCACCGGGCTCTGCTTCTCATAGTAGTGGAGTTTTTCATGAATCTGGAAGAAAATCAAACAAATGTGAGCTTACCTGCTAGCAAACAATCACAGATATTTAAATAGTTTTATAACTATAAATAGAATTGGATTCCTTGGACTTTTTCTACAGCCATGTGTTTAAATAAACCTATAGGTGGCAAATATGTATACAAAATTCATCTATTACTGTGTGGAGTGAAATAGAAAAGCATCGTCATTAAATAGGACCGACCCACATAGAAACTAAACCTTAGGTTTTCCTCCTGAATAAACATGTCACATTTCTAAAGCTCTATAATTTCTAAAATATATAGCTTGGATACCTCACGTATTATTTGTAGTTTATTTTCCTTAAAACATAAGTAAAACAAAGCAATAAGTAAGCAGCAACACTATGAGAGGTTGGCACGTAGGAGCCACCAAGAAGCAGCAATTGGTGTGGTGAATACCTGGGTATCAAGTCCAGAAACACCTTACCAAGTACTCTGTTCCTGTTACCTATTGCTCATTTATTTTTGAAACTCCCTAACCTTTACCCCAAATTCAGATTTCAATGAAACAAAGAGATTCCTCATAACTAGAGACATTTCTCACAACTAGTTAGTTTAAATAACCTTCTCCATATTACAAAACATGTAACTTATATTAATTAAAAGGAATTTAGCCCTTCACATTTCCTATCATTGTGACCCAAGAAACACAAAAGCAAGAATCTATTTTAATGCTACATGAGGCAAACTGAGTCCTTAAGAAAATCTCATACTAGAAAGTTGAGAAGTAAATGATGCTTCGATAAAGGTGTACCTGTTGGTACTTAAGTTTAATCTATTTCAGCTCTTACATCGGTGTACTTCATATTTTTTTACTTGAAAACTCACTTTAGCAGCTTCTATATGTATTTAAAGAAAATGTTCCACAATATACGAAAACCAGTTGCACCTCACAATTTCCTGTCTTTAATAGGTATCAAATAATATGCTTTTTAATTATACTCGAAGCTAACCAAACTCCCCTGTAAAAGTCTGGAAGACAGATTTTATTTTGATTAGCCAGAGGCTATTGCTAAGAGAGGATTTTATTACGTTTTTGGCAACCTGGTATATAATGTAAAGCATCCGGGAAAGAACTGTGACAGTTATGATATTACCAGAATGATCAGGACAACATTTTTACTTAATATCTTGGAGCCTTCAAACATTTATCACATTGAGGTAATAAACAAATTTTAAAGAATGCAAACCATAAAAATAATAAGATCTGATTTAAGAAACTATGAAAGTATAGTTTGAAACAAAAACCAGCCATACTAAAAGCTAAGCTAAATTTGGTTAAATAATTATCAAGAATTAGGTCATTTTGATATATATGATCATGGAACACTGAACTTAGCCTATTATAAAACTCATCCAGCTTTATTGCAATTACTTGTTTAAATGTCTTCTTCCCTGATATAATAAATATAGAAGCGTATACTTATTGGGCACTTACCAATGTAAATTACCTATGTAACAGTTGTTAGCAATACTAACAATATAGTCTTTAATGAGTTTTATCTCTTCATTCCTTGGCCATTATGGGAACATGAAGAGGTAGATAGTAAGATTGTCTCACTTTACAGATAAACAGATATATAGGAGTTAAATAACTTGCTACACTCTCACAGACAGCAAAAAAGCCAGAACTGGACTCTCAAGCTCCAGCCATCTGGCTCCACATCAGAGCTCTTAATCACCCACTTTCCTGCCTCTCAGACAAACATGTCGAGAGCCAGCCTGTGTTCCTCACTGGGTGCTTTCAGTGCTGAGTGAACGTGACCTGTACACAGGGCACGGAAAGGACTCAGGAGAGAGATGACAAGGAATAGTGAAAGTCCCCAACAACTAAAAGGATTATGCTGGCTCCTCTCCATCCTTCTCCCTTATCTCTTCTTTCTGATGGTTCCCAGTTTTCCTGGATTAATCCTGTAATTATACCCTAAAATTATATTCCCCAAAGAAACTGACTCTGCTTCTTCTGAGTGTCTTATAAAAACAAACAGTTCCTCCTCCATCATCTTCTGGGTAAGCACCAAGTAAGATAATAGCCCACACCCTCACCTCCCCATCCCTGGACTTTGTACTATTATCAAGAATTTTCTAAATGTTCTTCAAGAATTGCAAAATGCTGGCAATCCCAGGTTGATACGTGTTTTATTTCACTAGTCTTAAAATCTTAAAAATTGAGTTGGGAGGAAAGTTAAAAAAGATATATACACGTGAAATAATTCTGAGCTATTCCTTGTTTCTAAAAATTAGTACTAGTATTTATAATATCCAGGGAATAAAATCATTTTAAAATTCTAATAAAATAAATAAAAATAAACAGGTATCACCTATAGATACCATTCAAGGCCAGCCAACAAAACTTGCTGTGAGGCTGAAATGCTCTATAGCTACTTGTGCAACGTGGGTAGCCACGAACCACGTGGCTATTGAGCGCTTGAACTGGGACTAATGTACTTGGGAAACTGAATTTTTAATTTTATGTCATTTGGATTAATTCAAATTGAAATACTCACATGTGGCTACTAGCTTTCCTATTGGAGAACATGGCCTACCTTTACATTACACTCTCTATAATTTTCCTTTATAGTCCAGAAAAATTCACTAATATAGCTTGGAAAATTGCTCTGAGTAGGAACATTTTAAAATCCAGTAGACAGATGTATAACCAAAGAGGCAGCTTAATTATCAACACCTATTATTAAATAGAAGGCAAAATCTCATTTATTTTTAACTATATATTTCCCACAGCAGATCCAACCATATAATGATAACAGTGTGCTTTCATTTTTCTCCCATGAGCATGAGGAATAAGGGAAGGAATTCAGGGAGGAAAGGAGTTAGGGAAAAAGATGTCTGGAGAGAAGACAGAAAGACATACCTACTCCACAGAAAGCTCCTAAAATAATGACATGCTGAAATATTTAAAATATACTATTAAGAGAACATTTCAAAATCTACATATATTATGCTGTATTAAACGGTGCATATGTATGTGTCCCTAAGAATTTGTTTTCTATAGTTACAGTAGAGTTAGAAAAAGTCAGTTAAAATAAAAATCATTTATTTGTGGAACCAGTTCTTATAAGAAAGCTATAGTTACCTTCATTTATATATCTACTAAAATTTTTATTTTTAGTAAGGGAATTTGGTGTCAGCAATCTAATTTTAGTTATACACAAAACTTTTTAAAATGAAGCTCCCATAGTCAGAGTATGAATAGGACTTAGAAACCAGTCCCAACACAATCATTTGTACTAAACCTCTCAATGATGTGTAGAGGTATTTACACTGGAAGAACTCCACCATGTTTTTTCTAAATTATTTTATATTAAATAAACCAAAGCTATAATCCTTTTCCTGGTTTCTAAGTATAAAAAGCAGTGCAAACAACTGCTTAGTAGTTTGAATCTCTATTATGTTAATCAGTAGTAACCAATCTGGAATTAACACTTGTATGAGCACATATATGCCATCTACTTTATTTAAAAAATGGAGGTGGGTGTGGGGGGAGATCTGATTATTAAATAAAGAAAACCCACAAGAAGCAATCACAGCCAAGAGAGCTGGAATTCACATACTATGTTGTGTAAAAATAATTTTTTACATGTAATGGCTGGACTCTTTTTAAAAAATAATAATAATTTAATCTTTATCCAAAAGAAAAATATTGGAAGTCAAAAGAAAAATGAGACAATAAAGAGGAAATTTAAACCTAAATAATAACAAAGAGGACAGAAGGAACAATACAAATTACACATATTCCTTTCCAATTTGATACGCTTAACCTCTCTCTTGTAGTTAATTTTCAAATGGCTAATAACTACCAAAAAAGTAGTAAAATTCATATCATTGTTTTGCTTCTGTCTTTAATGATAAATTTTGACTTAATATTGCTATAGATCTATACTTCATGTGAAATCAGTATTCATGCATTCTAAATTTTTCAATAAGTTTTTAGTAGCTCAACACTATGACACATGCCTGTAATCCCAGCAACTTGAGGTTGAGGCAGGAGGGACACAAGTTTGGGGCCAACCTCAAGTAATTTAGTGAGGCCCTAAAGCACACACAGTATATAGTACATCATTCTTTAAAATTTTTTGAAATGCCTTATTGATTAATATCCTATTACCGAGACACTTTAAACGTTTTTTTAAAAGAAAATATGATAAACACTTGCATACACAGTATCAAAGTCAAACATATTAACCTGGCATATTTGCTTCAGATAAGTTCATTATATTTTATCATTAGTGATATTGCTAAAGACCCATACTTCCATTCCTTCCTTCTCTCCTTCCTCCAAGGAAAAAGAACCATGCTGCATTGCTGGACATATTCTGCAAAAGAAATTGCTGGATATTTGGATTTTAAACATACAAACATCTATGAACAATATAGACTATTATTTATTTCTCTGATGCACATATATGGCACTATTTCCTTTACCACTAGATTTTTCACTCAATATTACATTGATATATCTACATTGGCACATGTAGAACTAGTTGATTCATTTGAATAGTTAAATAACATACTACCATAATAATTAACGGTATTTGCATATCCACACTTTGACCTAAAGCCAATACAGTTGTTTCTACATTGTTGCTATTGAATATCCTTTTACAAGACTCCTGTACCAGGACAGATGTGTACAGGAGTTCACTGTTTTCTGTTCCCCTATACCTTTGCCAACACTTGGTGCTATCAGACTGTCTGGCAGATGGCTATGACATGGAACCACACAGTGGATTTACTATATATCCTCTGAGATCTAGGACTTGCCTTTTCATCATAGTTTGTGAGGGAGGGAAAGCTTGCTGCTCCCCAGTATCATTCTCCCCTCCACAATAACAGAATCACAGCTGGGATGTGGCTGCTTAGTCAAGGGCTACATGTCCTGTAATGCTCAGTCTTTCCCCTTCTTCCTGCAGCTCAGTTAGTGCCTGGGATTAGTTGTCTAGCATGAAAGGT